ATGAAGCCTTGCGCACCCTGCTCTGGTGGGGGGTGTCCCTGCCTATGGCAGGGGGTTGATACTAGATGATCTGTAACCCCGTTCTAACCCCTTAACAGACTATGATACTATGAAACGCTTGTTTATTCTTTGGGCCATGGACTTGGGCCACTGATTACTAACAGGGGACTTTTAACCTGCATGACATCTTCTGGAATATGGGTAGACCCCTAAGAAATATTCTTGTCTTTTTATGGTCATTATTAGGATGCTGGATATGGTCATTATTAAACTGCTGGATAACCACCAGCTGTTTATACCTAAGATGAGTTTGTGTTGCTAACAAGAAGTGGAGGAGTTCAGAACTGAGCAGAAATTGTCTTAATGTTGCTTAACTATTTTCAGTTTCTCTCAGCAGTGGGGCTACTGGTCTGCTTTGCTGAATCCCTTTTAGTAGGTACTATGCTTATTTATGCTTTGAGTAATTTGGCTGACTTCGCAGATACTTTAAGGGAACATTCCACTCCAAGAAACTAAAGCTGTTTATGACCTTCAAAAATACTTTCACCACAGCATTCTCCATGCTTACATTTCTAAACATTAGTGTCCTTCCAACTAACTGTATATGTAGTTTTATATACCAGTAGCTGATCTATCATCCTGTGGACAGAAAACTCAAACACAGGTTTAACTTCTAAGTACTTAGATAGTACTTAAAAGTAATGCACCAGAGTCCTATTTTACAACTGTTTTCATTGCTAGATTCTAGAATATCAAGCTACATGTTTTAATAAGAACAGTCTATTTACATAAACTTAATACATCTTTCATCTACCAGATCTACCCCTGACCTCAGTATAACACTACAATTTCTTTCCAACTGAAAAAAACTCTTCTTTTATTCAACCAGTTTCAAGTCTCTTCAGCCATATGCTAATAGGCAGCAAACCAGCATATGATATCCCATGCCTGGATTGAGAGTGTGGAAAGTCTGTCACTCACACTTTGGCAAAAGCAGCAAAGAGAAAATCACACTCCCTGACAAGTGGGAAGTGAAGAATATTTACATGTTGCAGACTTGCAGCTCATCCGAGTTTGCGTTTCCGTTAAACAATGTTTTTGTTTTCAGTACTAGTGAGGCAGAGTCTCTTTCCCCTCACCCTCAAATGTCAGGATGTGAACTGTTGAGCTCTAGAGCTGAAATAAAGATTCTATTTGCCCAGAGCTGTCATTCAGTAGCAATAGTGTAGTAGCAGCTCTGAACCATGTGTACATTCAGTGGCTAAGTAGTGAAAACTGGAGAAGCCATGAGTTGATTTCTGTTTTCCCTGAAGCAGAAGTGGTCAGAAATATATGATACCACTACCAGCAATAAATGATTACTGCACACTTTGCAGAGTGGACTGTCATACTTTTCTTAGTATAGGTGCCAGGTTTTGGCAAGTTTTGGGAATTTAGAAAAAGCTCTGGCAATAGGGCAAGGCTTGTTTTCCTTTCTCAGAGAAACCTGCCAGTGCCACTGATTCACAATCTCAGCTACAGCATACGTGATGGTAGACTTCAAACCATCAATTAAATTTTGCTTAATTAAATCCTAGGTGTTCCCAAGTCTTATTGGTCTCAAGAAACCACGAGTAGAGAATATGTTGTTAAAGTCAAGGCAGAAGTGTAGAGAACCACAGAAGTCAGGGTTCTATAAGCAGAAGTGTAAAACTTGTAACATCATAGACAAAGCTAAAGACATCCGGAGTTCAGCATTAGAACTTCATATGTTTTCTCTTGGTGTCAACTAAGTGACTTTATGTGGTGATTCATGTTTTTCTTCAGATAACTTACTTTTCTCTCAGTATTATTGACAATGTTTTTATGATAATTTTTCACACCAGAGTGAAGAATCCAGTGCTCATAATGTCTGTGGCTCACACAGAGTCACACATTCAAAAGCAACTGTGTGCATTCCTGTTTCAGTGTAGCGTTGATTGGATTTACTGTCGTGAGCTCAAGTACTATTCATGACTAGTTTTGCTCTCTTGAATGAAATATTTTCTTACTAGGGTAAACAACCTAAGGGAAGGCTTTGTGGCACTATGGTAAGATTCTCTTTTCCTAAACTGAGCTACATGTAGCCTTAAGGTTTCTATGGCTGTGCTTCAATGAGCACTTTAAACATAGTGTATGATGGAACATCATCTCAAGGAAGCCCAGTCTCCCTTTGTCCAGCTCTCTTGTTCCTAACCTTGTGCCACCTCCCATGTGCCCTCACAAATGTCTATGTGACTGTGTGGTAAGCCAAAGGGGAAACTGATTGATCCACCTGAAAATTCATCTAGTGCAAGAAAGTAAAAAGATTTAACTAGATCACTTTCCCTGTCTAGTTCACTGTGAAGCTGTGCAAAAGCTCTGTCAACCAAAGAGAAGAATGGAAAGTGACACAACCACAGAGCACTCTTAGCATCCAGTGACCAGCAGTCACAGGAAGGGACTTGGGAGTATAGATGACAGAAACTATCTCCAGATTTTTGTGCCTTGTTCTTTAGAAAAAGCCAAATTTGTCTTTTTTTTTTCCTTTTTTAATTCCCTCTTCAACTCAGCCAGCCATGTGTTGAAGGGAAGGTTGTGGAAGCTAACACTTCTGTTCCTGGACCTTTTGAAAACATTTACTTACACCTGTGCCAGCTGGCTTATGTAATGCCTGAAAGGGTAAGACCAGCTCCCTGAGCACCATGTTACTATTTTGCACCTTCAGAAATCAGCCAGAAGGATATCACTTTGAACACACAAAATCAGAAGCACCCAGTGCTACTTGGCACTCAGAAAAGGAAACAGCACATTTGCTATATTCGTAACCATGCTGAGACAGAGAATTGGAATTTGTGTCTCTCAAAAAGCCCTGGACTGCAGCTAGGTACAATTTCCACCTTCCACAGTGTCTCTGGATGTCTCACCATGTCTAAGAGAAGAGTAGAATTGACAGGAAACTGATATAAGTCTGTCTGTCAGAAGAGATAGAAAAATAAGCTCCCATCTCTATCCGTCATCTATTTATCTAGCTATCAGAGATGGAGATATGGCTCCTGGCTCTCTGTCTGTCAAATGCATTATGAAAGCAATTATGTCACAAGCACAGCTCTGGCTTTGCTGAATGAATCTGTCAAGAGTGAACAGACTGCCTGGAGTGTTTTGCACACAGCTTTTGGCACTAAAAGAGCAGAATACTTTGGGGGGAGGAATTTATTTCTTTAAGGCCATTTACATGCAGACATGATATTTGAAGCCCAGATTTCTGTGTTGTGTGGCTTTCCATTTGGATCTCATGTTCCCTTTAGCATTCACAGAATGGTTGGGGTTGGAAGGGACCACTGGAGATCATCTGGTCCAGCTCACCTGCCAAAGGAGGTTCATCTAAAGCAGGTTGCACAGTATTGTGTCCGGGCGAGTTTTGAGTATCTCCAGAGAATTAGACTCCACAGCCTCTCTGGATAACCTGTTCCAGTGCTCTGTCACCCTCAAATTATAAAATAAAATAAAAACGTTTTTCCTCAGATGGAATTTCCTGTGTTTCAGTTTGTGCCTATTGCCCTTGTACTTTCGCTGGGCACTCCTGACAAGAGTGTGGCCCCATCCTCTTTGCACCTTCCCATCAGATACTTATAGACATTTATAAGGTTCCCTCTGAGTCATCTCTCCTCCAGGCTAAACAGGCCCAGCTCCCTCAGCCTTACTTATAAATGATGTGCTCCACTGCCCTAATCATCTTTGTGGTCCTCCACTGGACCCTCTCCAGTAATGTCTTGTCTCTCTTGTACTGAGGGGCCCAGAACTGGACACAAGACTCCAGGTGAGGCTTGACTAGGGCTGAGCAGAGGCAGGATCACCTCCCTCAACCTGCAGGCAATGTTCTTCTTAATGCACCTCAGGACACCTTTGGCCTTCTTGGCCACAAGGGCACACTGCTGGCTCATGGACAGCTTGTGAAGGACCTCCAGGTCCTTCTCCACAGCACTGTTTTCCAGCAGGTAACCCCCCAGCCTGTACTGGTGGCTGGGGAGTTATTCCTCTCCAGGTGCAGGACCCTGCACTTGCCTGTTCATCTCCACCCAGCTCTCCAGCCTGTTCAGGGCTCGCAGAATGGCAGCACAGCCTTGTGATGTGTCAGCCACTCCAGTTTTGTATCATCAGCAGATGTGCTGAGGGTACACTGTCCCTTTATCAAGGTCACTGATGAGTAACTTGAACAAGATTGGATCCAGTACTGACCCTTGGGGAACACCACTGTCCTCCAACTGGTTTCTTCAGTGCTGATCACAGTCCTATAAGCTCTGCTGTTCAGCCAGTTCTCAGTCCATCTCAGTGTCCACTCATCTAGACCACACTTTGTGAGCTTACCTATGGGAATTTTATGGGACACAGTGTCAAAAGCCTTGCTGAAATGAAGGTAGACAACATCCAGTGCGCTCGTCTCAGCCAGTCATGCCATCACAAAAAACTGTCAGACTGGCCAAGCATGATTTCCCTTTGGTAAACCCATGTCGAACACTCTGGATTACCTTCTTTTCCTTCATGTTTTTAGAGGTGACATCTAGGGTGAGCTATTCAATCACCTTTCCAGAGGTGCAACTGAGGCTGACTGGCCTGTAGCTCCCTGGGTCCTCCTTGTTGAACTTCTTGGAGACTGGAGTGACTTCGGCTTTCCTCCAGTCCTCAGGTGCCTCTCCAGTTCTCTATGAGCTTTCAAAGATGTTGGCAAATGGCTTATCACTAACATCTGCCAGCTCCCTCAGCACTCACGGGTGGATCCCATCAGAGCCAATGGATTTGTGGGTGTAAGGTTTGCCTAAATGATCTCTAACCTGATTCTTCCCAACCAGAAGGAAGTTGTCTTTTCCTCTAGACTTTCTTGCTTTCAGGGTCTGGGGATCCTGAGGGCATAAACCTTCCTTGTCACATCCTTAGGTACTCTTGACAATGTTCCTACATTCCTCCCAGGTAACCTGTCCCTTTTTCCATATTCTGTAAACTGCCTTCTTCTGTTTGAGTTTTGCCAGAGGCTCCTTGCTCATCTGTGCATGCCTCCTGCCCCCTTTGCTTGATTTCTTATCCAGATGGATGCACCTCCTGAGCTTGGAGGAAGTGGTGCTTGAATTAAACCAGCTGTCCTGGACACACACACCCTCCCCACCCCCGATCTTCTTGAACCCTAACCCATGGGATTCCTCCAATTAAGTCATTGAGGAAACCCAAGTTAGCTCTCCTAAAGTTTAGGATTATAATCCTACTTTCTGCCCTTGCTTCCTCTGTGCAGGATCCTGAACTCCCCCATCCCTTGGTCACTGCAGCCAAGGCTGCCCCCAGCCTTCACATGCCCCAGCAGTCTCTGTTAATACAAGGTCCAGCACCACACATCTCCTCACTGGCTTCTCCACCACCCATATCAAAAAGATATCAGTGCTCTGCAGGACTCTACTGGACTGTGTGTGCCTGGCTGTGCTGTCTCTCCAGCAGACTGATTTAATCATCTCATTCTCAAAGGGAAGGCCATGTTTCAGGAGCAATTTACAGTGAGAAGTTCTTTTCAAACTTTGTGGTGTTTGTCTTAACTGGATTGCAGAAAGGAGAAGAAGTCAGAAACCTGAAACATTACTGGTACACGTCTTGGCCAGACCAGAAGACACCAGATCAAGCTCCTCCTCTGTTACAGCTAGTACTGGAAGTGGAAGAGGCCATGCAGAGTGCAGAGGAGAAGAATGCCCCAGTGATTGTTCACTGCAGGTAAATAAATGTTGATCTGAATCCTAAGGGCTTCTTCAGATACAGTGGCATAGTGCAGATACTGTGATATTGGCCATCAGTCAGACACAGGAGATCTTGCCCAACTGTTTCTGAAATATGCTTGGAACTTCTAAAATATAGTGACAATAATTTTCCGTTACCAAATGTTGCATTCAGATAGACTGAGTTGAATACAGAAGCTGATGGTGGCTCAGCTACTTGTTAGAACAGTCTCATTTCATTCACTTTATCAGAAATATATGACCTTAATTATCATGAAAGGGCCATGTTAACAAAGATTAACATACTTTGGGTGAAAATTAGTAGGAAGACACATGCAAGTAAAAAAATAAGAACACAACTTTAATCTGGGTGAAAATGAGTGGGAAGACACATGCAAGCAGAAAAATAAGAACATTGAACTTTCAGCCTCAAACCCCCAGTTTTGTGGATTCCTTTAGTTTAAAAAGAAACCCTCACTATTAGGCCAAAGACAATAACAGTAAAAGTATAACACATAAAACAAATAAAACAGTGGCAAAGCTGATTGCAGCAAGTGCTAATCAACAGTCAGGAAACGTATGCAGTTGATAGTAAAACTGAAGCATCAGTAAAAAGCCCCAGCAAAGATGATAACTTTTTATATGGAAGGAGCAAAATCTTTACAGTGGTTTGAAGCCTGATGAGAAAATTGTAATTATCAATCAGAGCAGAATAAAAATAGATGAAGATAGATACTTCTCTTCTGTCTTCAGAAAGAAGTAGAATGATGTACTTGTCACTTGTAGGCATGATGAAGTATGTTCTTTTGCACTCCTAACTAGGGAGCATGTTCAGCAACTACTAGCGACCATTATTAAATCAGATATACTGAATGATTTTCATCCAAGAGTGTTTTGAAAAGTTGCTTCACAACCTCTAAACCATTAAAAGTTTAGTATAGCTGAATTATAGTTCTTGGAAAATTGGAGAAGTTCCCGAGGTCTAAAAGCAATTCCTGTTTTGCCAGAGTTTAGAAAGGTTAAATATGATTACTTGGAAACTACAAATCAGTTCTCAAAACTGTTATTACAGGTAAATAGCAGAAAGCCTGATAAGCAATGCAGTTATCTTGCCTGGGTAATCTTCCATAATTTTAATAAAATACATTTTGCCAAATTGATCTTTGGGATTTCGGTAAGGAATTTGACTTAGTTTTGCATAACATTTTCCAGGAAAGGTAGGTGGTTACTTGTCAAAAGTCAGTAGATGTGGTATTATAGAGTGGCAGTGCTTTTCAAGAGCCTCTTGGCATGGTGGCCTGGTGTCATCAAAGATCCACCTGTGAGCTAATACGGAGTAATCACTAGTAAAATGTTCATATGATGCCACATGTCCAGTTTTTTGGCCTGTGTTTTAAAACAGATGTTGACAAATTGGGGAGAGTTCAGACAGAAATAAGAAATGCTTTGTAAGAAGGTTCCCTTTGTCCTTGGAAACCTCTAAGAGCTCCTTGAAATATTGTGGCATTTGCTGCTGGGCACCATGGCACTCTTGCTTTGCATACTGTTTCGTCCTTTTGTGTGGTGTCATCCTTGTGACACAGGAGTAATTTGGGGAGAAATGGGGCATTTTTTTTATTCGAAAAAACCTACTAAGAGACATAGTGATAGGACTAAAAAGTATTTCATGTGGGTAATGGGCAGTCTTGGAGGGATTATGAAGTTGTCTCAGCCACTGAGAGACCCACAGCTTGTTCTGGAGCAAGTGCTGTGTCTCTGCTGTTTATCTAAACATGGATGTTGTTCCCTCCTTTGCAAAACACACTGAGGTCTATGGACAGGAAACAGTATCAAGACATGTGCTGTGGTTGATTATGGCCAACTGGAAGATTAAAGACTTTTTGAGCAGCAGTAAACCATGAACTCCACTTTTGCTTGTACATTTGTTGCAGTGGTTTTGCATTCCAACTTTCACGGAATGTAAATGTGAGCAGGATTTCTTGTAGTTGTGTCAAATAATTATTCCTGAGTATGCTCACTTAATTCTTTCATGCAGAAGAAGGGCTTCCAGCATTTGCTGGTAGTTTATTCAGTGATAAGAAGAATTCACAGCTTCTATAGCACTGTGCCTTTGAGAATAAATTAAATTCTGATCATTAACCAAGGACCGAATCAGATACAAAGAAGTTCAGGAAAGACAAAGAAATTTCAGTAATAGTGAATTTGTTGTATCCTGCCCTAATTCAGACAATCACTAGGTTGTAGATCTGATCAGTAAATGCTATACACTTACTATACTGCTGTTAGCTCTAATTATTTAAGCAAGGGTTGGTCTTTTTACTGTACCTGTGAATGGAAAGAAGCTGTTAGAATTAAGAATCTCAAAGTAAAGTTTGCCATCAAATGCAAGGATTGCTGTTAAACCAAATCTAACTAAGAAATACTGTTTAACTGCTTTTTCTTCAATGGTTCAATGGCAGGTTCACCAACATATGGGGTCAAATGATACCTAATAGTCCATTAGTACTAAAAAGCACTGTATGTGCAATGTTCACACTTCTGCTGTGAGTGGCTAACAGTTGTGTGTCCCACTGAAGTTAGGATATTTTCCTAGTTATGGCTTTCTACCTGGAAACACCCACCTGGCAAAGGTCGGAGGGGCAAATGTGATAATGGAGTCTCTGCTGGTTTAATGCACTTGCTTAACAAGAAAGTTCCAAAGTCATTCTGACATCTCCACTGCCTCTCTCTGCTTTTCCTGTCCTCAGTGCAGGCATCGGGAGGACTGGCTGCTTTATTGCAACTAGTGTCTGCTGTAAACAGCTGAAGAACGAGGGCATAGTTGACATATTGCGAACAGCCTGCCAGTTACGGTTAGACAGGTAAGACAGCCTGTTTCCTTTCCAGGAAAATAAACCCCAAAATGCTAATATTTCCCTTTATCAAGGAGAAACAAATGGCAAGAGGGGAAGAACAAAGGCAAGTGGAGGCCAAGAGAGAATGTTCCTCGAAGGAAGCTGTCATGTTCTCAACAGTTCTGACTTGTAACCTTTGCCTGTTTTATGCACAGTAAACCTTAATGAACAGCCCTAGAACTGAGCTAGATTCACAGCTGGCATCAAAATCTACATAGCTGCCCATCTCATGCAGCAAGGGATGACCTTTCTCCAGCTGAGGAGTTGGCCCCATGTTCATACTGAAGCAAAGGCTCAAAGATCTGCTGTGATTAAGTTCAGAGCCACAGATCATCACTTTGCTCCCAGGAGGAGTAAAGAAAACTAGCCTTGCATACTTGGAGCTGTGAGCAATGTTGGGAGAGACAGTGCTTGGAGAGGGAGAGTATGCACAATCTGGAGTGTTTGCAGACATGTGAAAGGAGCTGTGAAAATCTCCACAAATTCAATGGTTTCCAGTTAAGCATTTCTTAACACACCACCTTGAGTTTGATTATGAAGTAAACAGACTTGAATTTTGCACCAGAGATGTTATTTTTCCTCTCCCACTGGTTTCAAGTACCATCAAAACATGTCTCAGTGCTCTCTCTAATGATAATGATAAATGTAGTCGGGGGAAGAGATGTCACGAAAAACATACCAAAGATTTTTCTGAGGGAAAAAAAAAAAACCTCAACCCCACACTGAACTTTATTTCAGAGGAGAAATTATGCTCAGTGGGAGGCAGAAAATGAAATGCTTGCTGCCCTGCTGAGGCTCTGATAGACAGGGGCCTGCAGGGGCTTAGAAATTTGGCTATTTCAATGGATTTCAGGCCAGACAAGGAAAGGCTTCTTGAGACAAAGTAAACTAGAGTATGAATAGCGAGTGCTGATTATCCATAGTCCAGTGAAATATCTGACTGAATGCAAAATATCTTGCCTCTGTGACTGATGTTGCATAGGAAAATAGCAGTACAATGAAGGTTAAAGACACCTGCTTAAAAATGTGTGTGATACAGAAGGTCAATTGAAAATACTAGCTTTGCAGGGAGAGAGGAACTGACAGTCATTTGCAGAGGCTGAAGAAGGGAGATCATAGAAGAACACCATGGAGAGAAAGGAAGACTGTAGGAACCTCTGTAGCTGCCTCTCAGAAACTCTCAGGAGTGGGATGGGATAGGAAAAATCCATTTAAATGTCATGGGATGAAATACTCAAGATGGAGAGCAGATCACCATCCTTCCTACACAAGAGCATGATTTCTTCAAGGACTGAAAAATGAGGCTTGTAGTCTCTTGGAGTTCATGCTGCCATCCACTCTCATTTTCACTAAAACCCCTCAAAAGCTCCAGGTGACTTCAAAAGTAGTATGAGAGAACGAAACAGTGTCCAAGCAGCTATTGGATGGAAGCCTCTCTGTATCTTCTCTTGCCTGGTCGTTACTGGCTAGAGAAAATAGAGTGGATGGGTAGGAGTCACCAGGGACCTAGGGGAAGAGGGCTGGATGCAGCCCAGACTAGACACATAAAGGAATGCACCTAGCTGCTTCACACAGAAATAGACATGTTGACAATAGCCCTGAAAACCACTTTTGAGGTTGCCATGAGTGTGAAGGAAACAAAGGCTCCTTTCCCTTCATTCCCTCACAGATCCCTTGGAGAAATCCCATGCACTGGGCTTTGCATCAGTGGCCAAAAACAGTTGATCCTAAAATAACCTAGTATGACTAACGAGAGGAAGTAATCATCCCTGCATCCTTCCCACAGCGCTGAGAGACGTTTGCTGTCATTGCCCACGATGCAACTCAGATTTGAAAGGTTCCTGTGGCAAATAGGGGTGAAAACATAATTTGTCTATTCTGTGCCAAAGCCTGGACAGTAAGCACATGCCATGGTGTGCATGTGTGTGGGAAGGGAGGAAGCCACCACATAGCAGGGAACTGGATAAAAAGGAAAATAATTTCCTGTGCTCTGAAACTTGATGGCTACCCTAGTACTTCAGTTGTTACAACTTCAGGGTGCAACCCCACTGTTCATGGAATTGCATAGGGAGTAATTGTCAGACATGACTAACGTTCCTTACGTGTCACAGACTGACACGAATGTATTTCAATGCTGTGTGCAGCACAGAGAGACTCAGAAACAAATCAACTGTGAGCTTGTATTAAGTAGAGCAGATGGGTAGGAGATGCTCAGCTGGGAAACACAGTGTGTGTTTCCCACCTTTGCTTGTTGATGAGAGGTTGAAGCATGAGTCCCTGCCCTTCCCTGCTCATTGTTAAATGTTATTTCAATCAGACACAATAAAATAAGTGCAAGAGGCTGAGAGAGGAGATTGTCTTTCCTGCTCATCTCCTCCTTACTGGTATGATTACCTTGTGACCCACAATTGTTAAGCTGGACCCCACAGAAAAGGGCAGTCCCCAGGAAGGGTACTAGCTGTCCAAGCAGCTACAGGAAAGAAGATTCTCTGTGTCTTCTCTTGCCTGGTCATTACTGGCTAGAGAAAATAGAGTGGTAGGGAAGGAGTCACCAGGGACTTAGGCAAAGAGAGTTTGGCTCAGAGGAAGCAACATTTCATTAATTTTCTCTAGTGAAGTTTCCTAAGGGAACACACCACATATGTTCTTCCTCTGACTGACACAGTTTGGTTGGCTCCAGTCGCCCACAGGTTCCTGTGGTCCTCAACCCCACTTGTCATTTCAGCTTCCTTTTGGCACTGTGTTCCCAGGCTCTGTGCACCAGCACCAATACTGGCACAATTCCACATAAACTTTCTGTGAGTTTGAGCCACGGGGTTTAATTGTTTTCATTATGGATTATCAAGGGATCATCTCACTTCTGATGGGGTACTCTTAGCAGGATTTTAAATGTCAGTAAAATCTGCTTAAAATGGATAGCTTTATCCTGATTCTTTTTGTTCATTTCTGCCTCTCTCTGCAGTGCTCACGAGTTGGTTAATATGCTACTTCCAGAAATACACAGGCTAAAGATACATGGAAAATCAAACTGGTTTTGGTTCTGCTTGCATTCCCTTTCAGGTTTGCAGCTTTTAAGAAAGCAGTAAAAGCTGAAGAGCAAGCTGAACCAAAACAGAATTCTGTGCTGAGAGTCTTTTACTATCAAGGTGTGCACAGCAGTCAGCTCAGTTACAAATCTGAGCTGTCTTTTCTAAAGTTACATTGTCTGTTCCAAAATCCTGCTGGCCATCCCTAGTGCCTGGTGAACTTGCCGAAACCTTGATGTGGGATGCCACAGAGGAAAGAATCCTCATTGCAGAATGAGGATTTTGCATCAGTTGTCTAGGCTGGTGTGGCTGTAGCACTGAATTCAGTCCCTGGTGCAGCTGTGAAGTCTTGGATAAGCTACTTCCCTTCTTTATCACCCCTGCTCCCACTGCCTCTCTAGAGCTTTGGGGTGGGAGTTGCTTTTCATGTTGTTCAAAACAGTGTGTGGAATACAGGCACTCATGTAATATGAATGTGACTGTGGTGGTGTTGCTTTACTGGATAATGACCTCTGCTAAGAGGAACGAATTTAAAGCCCTGTTCTCACTACCTTCTGTTCCTTGCTTAGTAGAGGCTTTCAGAATGGAGCTGGAGGTCAGACTGCAAGCTGGTTGCAATCAGTGGGCACTTCTCTCTCACTTCAGGAATAGATCTTTTGTGTGGAGCACAAGCTCCACGTTAGCTGTGCTGTTTCCTTTTATGTTTGCATGTAATAAGATTGCTGTTTTCCCCCACCCCTTCTTTTTTTCTTTGCTTTTCAGGGGAGGAATGATCCAGACTTGTGAACAGTATCAATTTGTCCATCATGTCATGAGCTTGTACGGAAAACAGCTTTCTAGAGCAGCAGAAGAATAAGTGTTCATGATATTCCTAAAGGCTAAAGCCAAGAGAACTTTTGACTGCGTTCAGATATATTTCAGATCTGATAAGAGACACATGGTAACCTGGCTGTTTTAGCTGAAAAGAAAGACATATTATTTTACTTTGATATTGCTTTTATGCTCTTGTTTGCATTGACATTTAAGAGCTGAGGTATGCCTTGTCTTAAACATATGTGACAGGACATAATCTTCACCAAAAAAGGCTTATTTATACTGTAAATAGGAATAGTAGCTTCATTTGTTACAAAAGCAAGAAAAAAACCCAGAAAAAAATCCACTGTCTTCAGTTTGCTATTTTTTAAGAGATCATTGCTAATATATCCAAATACAGTGTGAAACCTTTTGAATTGTCATGCTGAAATGTGCCGTATGTTGACTAAGCTTGAAAGTAACTTTTTGCCTCTTTCTGATTGTTTTTACATATAAAATTACCGAATACTGTGTATATCGTAAACCTTCTGAGCCTCTGCATTGAAAGATTCGAGTAGATCTGCATTGAAATGATGTTTCACACATCATGTTTGCTTGTTCATCTTTTCTAGAGCAGCCCACCACCAGCGTTAGCAGAACTAAGGGGGAAGAAATATCTCGGTGATGTGAGTCAAATTCTTGCCTCCAATTCTTAGCAGCAGTGTACCCCAATATCAGGACAGCTGGGTAAATCTGAGCTGAATAGTAGAAATTAATCTGAACATAAATTCTTCACACTTTACCTTTTCTTTGTGGATATTTTGGCATCTCAGTCTGCAAATAGGTTTGATTTATGCAAATAGTTTCTATTTTCACATAGTCAGGCCACAATCCGAATACAATTTCCCCTGAAATTTGAGATTCGAAACTAGGTGAGGAATTTTGTGAGGTCAATTCATCTTTACTAAAAATCTAATAATAAAATCACTTGTTTCTATGAATTTAAACTTGTTTCAAAGCTTCGAGGGTCACCAGGTGCCCAGTGCTTATGCAAATTAATGCAAATCCTATAGGCAGCTATAAAAAAAAAAAATCAGTCTGAACTTGTTGGCTGCTTTTTGATAAATTTGCCCTCAAACCAAATTTAAACAGTCATTAGCCCATTCTACCTAGTCCAGGCAGCAGTGTTTCCTTCTCAGGAATACAGTCTGCTGCCCATGCTTTTCGTTTTAGACGTCAGTGAGGCTGTGAAGACTTACAGCAGAGTGGCAGCTGATGGTTGGACTTGATGATCTTACAGATCTCCTCCAACCTTGATGATTCTATGACTGCAATTTGTGTTTAATGCTTAGAGCTAAGCACATGCTTCAGTGCTTTATCGAGCAGAGAAAAATGGAGGTACACAGGATCCCTAACATCACAGAGGAGTGTTTTGTGAATAGAAGCTGTAATGACCTACTAAAATTATTTTGCTTCTTTTTATTTGTAACAATAACCAAAACCCACTGCTTATTTTAGTGCAGGAGATTCTGGGAATTTACTGCACTTCCTAATCAGGAGAAGGTAAAGCAGCTCTCAGAACAATAAGGGCTGATCCTGCTCCCACTGATGCTTTGCCGTTGACGTCAGTAGGTGCAGGGTAGGGCCTGAAATGTTATGCCTACAACTTCATCACTGTGGGGAAAGTTTCCCAATATTTCAGTACACATCTTTGTGTTTATTCTGTATCCATGAACCTGTAAAAAATCCTGTCAGCAGGGTTTGCATGAATGTGTGGCAAAATGTGTTATCTTTAAACCACTTGATTTTATTGCTGTATTTAAAATCTTTTCTTCAGTGAGAAGCTAGCAGGAAGAACTGGCATTCTTTTTTAAAATACTGGTGGTAGTCATTAAATAGAGCAATAAACTTAAGCTTTTGAGCATAACATGACTGTTAGTTTTATGTAAGTCTTGATAGGTATATTCTCCCCACTGCTACCGATTTTTGCAAAGGGGTAACACTATTCCTTCTAAGCACTCCTGAGAAATAACAAACTCACCACTGATGCTCTGAATAACATTGTAAGTGGAACTCCCTATAGATGTTTTCAGCTGTTCAGTGCCCTTCAGTGTCAAAACTGACTCAGTGAATAAAATGACTTGCTCTGCCATCAGCTTCCTGTCCATCTGCTAAAGAACATTTGTTGATGATTGATAGGAGTGCATACAGGAGCAAGGAGAATTTCCAGAGGGGAATAGCTTTATGGCAAACTAGATATAAAGGGCTCTAAGGTACTGATCCTGAAGTCCTTGCACAGATCCTCAGCAGGTGTTAGCTGGCAGTGCTTCACTGATTTGAGTAGAAGTGAATGATTTATACTGATGAAGGAAACATAGCCTGTGTGTTTTGCATCAATTCACTACTACAAAGCCTAGCTGGACAGTCTGGTTATGAGGGCTGCATGCTGCCATCTCATACCAGGCATGAGCATTCCACTTGGTCAGGATCAAAATATTCAAATGCCTCTTGAAGTGTTATTTTGCCTAAGAGATTTGGAGCTAATCCTCCTATGTACTCTTTGGCCTTATCATAATTAACATATTTCTATCTCTTTTTTTCTTGGCTATTTTTTTATAGAATTTGATGTCTGAAGGACCTTTTATCAACTGTTCTGATCTCTTCTGACAGCAGAGGTAGTCTTAAGAAGTGCTTAAGATTAGCAGAAAGGAGCTCTGGCCATATGCAAGCACTTGAGATGAGTGGGGCTGCTGCTTCTGTAATCAGTATGTTTGAAACTGAGCTGACAATAGGAACTAAGCTAAGCTATGTGTCTTGCTAGTCTTGTCTTTTACTGGGCACTCTTTCTTTATTGAGAGAAAATTCCAAGCATACTTCATCCATTCTCTCCAGCTCACTGCCTGGGGCCTCTTTGTACCAAAAAAACAGCATTAATACCTACAAAACAGTTGTTTCCCAGAGGACTGAATTCCTCTCTCCAGATGGGTAAACATGTAAAAAACATGAAATGGCTTTATTTAGAACCAACTGTGATGTTTCATAAGCTTTTTCACACTTCATCAACAAGGCAGAGCCTAGCTCAGTGCTTTGCTTCTTCCTTCTTCATCACACTTAAGCACTTGTATCCTGTTTATGTTTCTGTCAAGGTAACAGACTAATGGCATACTCTGTCCTTTTGCAGGTAGTCTAAGATCAGCAGGTACCAAAGTTATGTAAAAAAACCCACTAAGATTGCACTTGAGTTGTCCCCAGATAAAACACTTAAAGATCAACATAATTGTTGACTTGGTCAAATTATTCTGAAATGTCAACTACCCAACAGTCATGTACAGTAGGGAATTGCATTTCTTGCAAGGCTTTCAAAAGTATCTATCAATTCTGGACTTTTCCTCTTTAGTTAGTCTACTTTGGAAAACCTTAACCTGTGGGTTTGCAGTTGCAAAATGGACTTGAGAATGAAGACATCATTAAACAGGTCCTTGCTTCCTGTCACTTCCCTGCTGTCTCCTCAGCAGAGGAATCATGGAGCTTGCACATAGATTGTCTTAGAAAGTGTATGTCTGTTGATTGTGAGTTGTTAGGTTTTAGAAATGGACCTGAACTATGACTTTTTTATGTGCTTGTTCCCTGGAAGCCAGTTTAAACAAGGGAAATGCTAAATCTACAGTTTGTTAATCATAACCATGTTGCTCTATATTTTACATTAAACTTGCTTTATAAATTTATTATGGAGAAAAAGCAAAACACTTTTTCTGAAATAGCTGGGGGGTAACCTTATTTCTTCTGCCAGGTCTGTAGAGGTGTACTTGCTGATGTCTGCAAGAGTGACTATCAGCTTAGGATAATGTAGGGCACTCAGGAATTCTGCAAGAAAATAAAATGTTTCATTCAAAAGCACAGAAGAAATACGTGAATGAAGCAGCATTTTCAGCTTTGTGCATAAGGTACAGGCAGTCAAAGAACTGCATGCTCTAGGCAACTCAAGCATTGATTTCCAGTGTCTCAAAGTGAGTTTCACATATTCACAACAAGGTAAATTCCTTCAGTTACATGCAAGGAAGGAGGAGAGTCCACTCTCCTTTGAACACTGATACAGATTGGGCTCCAGCACCTGAATACAACAGATGCTACATTCTCATGGCATGGTGTGAAAGCCACAGAAGGGGTTATGATTAGACCTGTCCAAGCTTGTGTGCCATGTAATCCTCAGCAGGGCACCAGTGACAGGTTTACTCAGTTGATAGCAAAGCTGAATGAAGAGAAAGACTGAATTATTTAGTCAGAATTAAAAGCCATGCTGGTGCCAGAGCTCACAATATGGCTCAGAGCATTTGAGAAGATAAAGCTTAAACAGTCTGGCAAAGGACTTGGTTATTGCAGTTCCTGGCCCTTTCTTTCTGCTGGACTGTGCTGCTCAAGCTCTGTGTTCCATACTGCTTATTTGTCTCTTATCTGCCTGTTGCTGCTTATGCTTAAAATAGAATTAAATAAGTCACTGTGTTGGACAGTTTTAATCCAATATGTTGATAGCCAATGTTTTCCAGAAGTCACCTCTTCCCTTGCAGAGAGCCTGTCTTGCTAGACTCTCTTCAGAGGGCACAACCTGTTCTGCCTACCTTTTCATTCCAAAATTTTGGGGACAGAAGTCTGCAGTTACGTGCATCTCACTAAAGGCATATCTCCTTTGAGAAATAGAGCTATTTGCCTGAGTCAGAGTTTTATTAGTATGTCTGACCTTAACTCCCCTAGCCCAGAAGCAGCTGCAAGGTATCTACTTTCCTCTGAAAAGGCAAAGGCAACACTTCTCTGCAGAGATCAGGGGAAAAAATCCTGCATAGACACTTTTGTACTTGCTCTTTTGCACGGTTAGCTTGTTTGCCTCTGAAGTGGACACATGGAAGATTGTCAGGAATTAAGTCAAAACTAATAAGGCACAACAGAAACGTAAATTAGCTTTTACTCCTTCTGTATCAAAAGAAGGAAAATCAGATCTGATTGCTGTCACTACATCCACTGTGGTCTTCTTGGTATTTAGGTTGTTGTGAGGAATACAGAAAACAGACACAAAGGCATCACAAAGGTCAGGATTATGAAGAGATCATTCTGAGCCACTCCTCCTCTTTTGGAGGCCTAAGTTTGGCAGTGTGGCCAAACTGAAAGATCTTCTCATTCATATGAATTGGTTTTCCCCCACAGCACTATGTGTGTACACAGATGCCTGCTCAATGTGCCACAAGTAGCTGGTGTAAGAACAGAAGCATGAGGGAGGATTCATGAGCACTGTGAAATGAACATAGAAAGGGAGTGCCTGGTTTTTGAGTCAGTTTGGATAGGTGGGA